GATTGGGGAGCTCCCCCCTATCAGGCACAGAGCAGGGCTGATCAGGGGGTTGGGGTGCCTTCCCCTGTCACGATCAGAGTAGGGCGGATAGGGAGGTTGTGGCCCCGCTCCCTGTTACACACAGAGCTGCAGGGCGATCAGGGGGTTTGGGCGCTGCCCCCTGTCACGCTGATCCAGTGCCAGGAGGCCTCGCGGCTCCGCTGATCCCAGTGCTGGGAGGCATATTACCCTTTTACTATATAGGATAGAGGCCTGGGGGCCGGCTGGTTTGCCCTGAAGGGTGTCCTGGATCAGGGTGGGGGTCCCCACTGGGGTGCCTGGCCAGTCTGGGTGAGGGGCTGAGGGCTGCTTTCAGGCTGGCAATTGACTGAAGCTCCCAACCGCTCCTTGTTTTCTTTTTTTTATTCTGGGCCAGCTTTAGCTCTGGCTCTAGCTCTGAGGCTTCCGCTGCTATAATCGAAACAATGTATAACTCTAGCTCTGAGATCCCGGCTGGCTGAAAGCTGATTTCTGGGGTTTTGTTTAGCTACTACATTTGCAACATAGTACATAGTTTCTTAGAGTTGTAGCTCAGAGGCCGTCAAGTCAGGCGGGGGTTGGAGTCCGCAGTCACTGCAGCAAGCAAACCTCATGTTCGCTTCCAGCTGCCTGGCTGCCGGCCGCCATCTTGGCTGACAGTTAATTTGCATAAGGATATGCTGATTAGCCAATGGGAAGGGTAGCTCGTACGCCAATTACCATGTTTCTCTTTTATTAGTGTAGATTATATAGGCTACTGTACATTATCCTTTCTATAGTTGATGGCCATTTGGGTTGCTTATAGTTTTGGGTTATCATGAACAGTTTTGCTTTGAACAGCCTTGTAAGATTTCTTTTGATCCACATCTGTACCCATTTTGGCTGGCTATATACCCAGAAGTGGAATCGCTAGGGCATAGGGTTATGCCTGCTCAGCTTCACCAGATACTGCAAATAGCTTTCCAAAGTAGTTGTGCCAATTTCCACTTCCACCTGCAATGTTTGAGAGTGCCAGTTCTCCTGCATCCTCATCAACACTTGATTTTATCAAGTTTTGTTTTGTTTCTGGACCACTCTGGGTGCCCAGTGGTATCTCATTGTGAGTTTGAGTTGCATTTCCTAAAGACTCATGAAGTTGTGCCCTAACCAGTTTGGCTCAGTGGATAGAGCGTCGGCCTGTGGACTGAAGGGTCCCAGGTTCGATTCTGGTCAAGGGCATGTACCTTGGTTGTGGGCACATCCCCAGTAGGGGGTGTGCAGGAGGCAGATGATCAATGTTTCTCTCTCATCGATGTTTCTAACTCTCTATCCCTCTCCCTTCCTCTCTGTAAAAAATCAAAATATATTTTTAAAAAAAGGCTCATGAAGTTGAGTACCTTTTCATGTACTTATTGGCCATTTGGATATCCTCTTGCCTGCTTAAATTCTGACCATTAAAAAACATTAGATTGTCTTTTGATTTATGAAGTTCTTTATTCTAGATGAGTCTTTTGTTGGTTATACCATTTCAAACATCTCCCATGCTATGGCATGCCTTCTTATTGTTGTCATATTTTTAACAGAAGGTTTAAGTGCAGAGGTATTTGCGAAAGTTGTGACCTGAATAGGACATGGCGGGGAAAGGGAAGTGGAGAGCAGAGAGAGGGTTATCAGGCAGGTAACAGCCAGATCCTGAAGTACGAATGGAGCAAAGACCCGTCGGAGGTTATTCCTATACACAAGTGAGACAGGATGGAGACTTGGCGAGGCCCCAGGATGGTAATAGAAATGGAGAAAATAGGTGATTCCAAAGATAGGAAGGACTTGTTGATAGGCTGTGTATGGGATAAGGCAGAGGGAAGAGTCCATGTTTCTTGTTTGGGCAACAGAACCTATGGGGAAGATTGGAAGAGGTTAGTGCAGAATAGGAATTCCATTTTAGATGCGTTGAGCCTGAATTGGCAATTGACTCATGACCACAGCTCTTTTCCACCTTATTCTTGTTTTCACAGGAATGCTCCAAAATGGAAAGAAATTTGATTCATCCAGAGACAGAAACAAACCTTTCAAGTTCAGAATTGGCAAACAAGAAGTCATCAAGGGTTTTGAAGAGGGTGCAGCCCAGGTAGGATGAAGATCCTTCTAATGGGGGATTTGAGGAGTCGGGATCTGAGCTCAACACTAACCCCACCTCATCACAGACCACTACTACACACCATCTAGTTTCAGTCCTGGCTTTGTCCCCGCCCTTTTTGTTGCCAGCATGACTCTTTTGTGTCACTGGAGGCTCTTATATCTCAAGCTCATCCCCTGGGTTTGATCAGAACTAAACTAACGGGGGGGCTTGTGAGCTACCAGCTATCCCTGACCAAGGCAGCAGAAGAGTTGGGGTAGGGTAGGCCAAGGTGGACTTTAAAATAAAAAGAAAATGCACAATTTCAGACTTGCAAAAACATTGCAGGAATAGTAGAGTTCCCATATGTTCCTTCCCCAGCTTCCCCAAATGGCAACATTTGACATAATCATAGTACAACTAGAGGCCCAATGCATGAGATTTATGCAAGAGTAGCCTTCTTTCCCCCGGCTGCCGGCACTAGCTTCCCTCTGGCACCCGGAGCCCAGGCTTCCCTCCAGTTGCCAGCAGGCACCTGGGACCTGGGCTTCCCTTATAGCCCCAGCTTCGTCCAGTCTAATTAGCATATTACGCTTTTATTATTATAGATGACAAAAATCAGGACATTAACATTGTTACAATACTATTAACTAATCCATTAAAATTTTTGAGTCAGATATTTAGTATTTAAAAATCAGTTTATTCACATTTCACCAAGTCTCACTAATGCCAGGCCGGTCTTTTTTTTTTTAATTGATTTCAGAGAGGAGGGAGACGGAGAGAGATAGAAACACCGATGAGAGAGAATCATTGGTCGGCTGCCTCCTGCACGCCCCACACTGGGGATGGAGCCCACAACCTGGGCATATCCCCTGACTGGGAATTGAACCATGACCTCCTGGTTCATAGATTGATGCTCAACCACTGAGCACACTGGCTGGGCACCAGATGGGTCTTGATGACTGCTGTGATGAGCCCTGTTCAAGCTCTGCTTCCTGGGTCTGTGAAGCCATCTGATGCTCCACTGTAGTTTTCAGCCCTCTCCACCTTGCTGTGGCTCTAAGCTCAAGTTCTCTAATGAACTGCCTGCCACCTACTTGAGTGTGTGCTGTACATGTGCTTTAGACACCCTCTTTAGGAAGAGGGTGGGAACAATTATGAACAATAGAAGTGTTTGGGCCGTACACTAATTGATAACCAGCAGTTTATTGGATGAATGAATTTGAGACTGCTTGGTGGAAGTTACTGTCCCACAGTCAAGTTTCTGCTCTTCTGAGGCAGAATCTGTATGTGTTACAACATATTTTAACATATAACATATATGTGTGCCATGCATAAAATTCATCTCAGATTTTCAGTTACCACAAGGATGGTTTGGGAAAATGCCATAGTTACCTTACTTTTTTCTTTTAAATCAAGCTGGGTCCTCTTTCTCCTCTCCCCATCTGCCCCCATCCCTGCTAGATGAGCTTGGGGCAGAGGGCGAAGCTGACCTGCACCCCTGATGTGGCGTATGGAGCCACTGGCCACCCTGGTGTCATCCCTCCCAATGCCACCCTCATCTTTGACGTGGAGCTGCTCAACTTAGAGTGAAGGCAGGAACTTAAGGTGGCTGGAGATGGCTGCTGCTCACCCTCCTAGCCTGCTCTGCCACTGGGACGGCTCCTCCTGCTTGGGGCTCTTGATCAGTGTGCTAACCTCGCTGCCCCGCGACATTATCCATTCTCTCTGCCCAAGTTGCTCTGTATGTGTTGGTCATTGTTCACGCGCATCTTTGCTTGAGGAAACTTCGGTTGCAGATCAAAACATTTCAGGTTGTACATTTTGCGTGATGCATGTAATAGCCATTCTTGAGAACAGAACACAGATTTCTTGTTTGCACAATCTACACTGCCTTACCTTCACTTAAGCCAGACACACAAGGTACTCAGACATGAAATGTACATGGCTTACACAGAGGGACTTGAGCCAGTTACCTTTGCTGTCACTTTCTCTCTTAGAAATTGTTGGCTGCTGACTTACAAACTGTCCTCTTTGGAAATGACATGTAAAATAAAGGCTCTGTGCTTGACAAATTCCTGTCATCCTTATTGTAGATAGGAAGTACTTGAAGGACCACATAAGCCAGTCGCCCTTGGGAAAAATAGTGGAAAGGAGCCTTCCAAGTAGCCAGGAGAAAGAATAAATATAATAATTACAATGTGAGTACTGTACATGCTGAGCCTTGTTCTGTATATTTTAAAATAAATTGGTCACCAATCCTCTAAGCAGCCCTACAAAGTAGGTATTATTTGCCGCTCATCTCACAGGCTCAAGTCTCCTCTGAATAACTAAAAGAATATATTGTGTTCAAATCCCATAGCCTAGCAATCAAATGTGGGATTCCAGCACTTTGGGATCCTGCGATCTGTAGTTGTTCAGACTTAAAGGGATGAGCTCCCTTCACCGAGATGGAAAAAGAACATTGTGTGTCTGAACAAATGAAGGTGTGGTAGGCCTTCGAGCCACACTCTAACTCACATTAAGTTACTTTTGATAAGACTGCGATTCTGAGATTGTTTTCACATTAACTGCTTAGTTGCATCTAGATTTGTTCTAACTTACATTGGGAATTACCTAAGAGAAGAAACTATGTTTCTGCCACATATACTGTTTAATTTAATCAACATGAACTGTAACTCATGGGAGTTCTCAGGTAGGTTTTAAATCAGCCTGCTTACTGGTGTGCTCATCACAGGAGCCTGGGGCAATATGGCCAGGAGATTTCTCTTTTAGTTGGCATAGTTTTTAAACTTAGTGAGGAGTATTCTGTCAGCAATCTCTGAACTTGAGATTAAGACTGAGAAGGGGCTGGGGACAGGTACTATTAGTTTCCTTCACAGACTCAGGTCATATACATGAGGGGGGGGGGTTCATCATCTTGGTTATTACTTCATCTACCCTTTGTCTCCAGGAAGTCCTGGCTGTAGTCCTCTGCTGAGGACTGAGGAGTTAAAAGAAGCAGTCTTTAAGATGGGGAGAATGAAATGAGAAAGGGGCTGCATTGCTTTTAATCACCCAGTCCCTGGGTTCACTTCTACTGTGGAACTAGGCCAGCTAGAAGGGCTGCATTCACTCCTTTCTGGAGCTTTCCTTGATAACACAAATGTCTATGATAATTTCTGAGAACTCAGCCTGTTTTCTCATGTGACACCAATAGGACAACGAAAAACCACCAGAGGTGACCATTAGGAGTCATATAAAACAGCAATCGCCAACCGGTGGTCTGCGGACTACTGGTGGTCCGTGAGGTCCGAAAGGTTGGCGACTGCTGATATAAAAGATCTTGGTCTAGAGCAGGGGTGGGCAAACTTTTTGACTCGAGGGCCACAATGGGTTCTTAAACTGGACCGGAGGGCCGGAACAAAAGCATGGATGGAGTGTTTGTGTGAACTAATATAAATTCAAAGTAAACATCATTACATAAAAGGGTACGGTCTTTTTTTTTTTTTTAGTTTTATTCATTTCAAAAGGGCCGGATCCGGCCCGCGGGCCGTAGTTTGCCCACGGCTGGTCTAGAGTATGTATAGCACAGGTGTTAAAAGGAGACACTCACTAAGAACCAACACAAACATAAAAAACTGCAAATACCTACTGGCTAGCACCTGGAAAGGACATGCCAGGCTTCGCAGGCCCCGCTCTACTGACACTCTTAAAAGATGATGCAGAGAATCATGATACAGTATGCTCACAAGCCTGGACATTGTCCCGAGAGAGCCACTGAAAGTTGTTAAACAGGAGAGTGACGATGAGCTGTCATATCAGTCATTTTCAAACTTCTGGTTAACACATCCTCGAGTCATACAACATCTTTCTCAGAAACTAGAAATTTAACCTTGAGGAATGTAAAGCAGCTCTGGCAGACATGTGTGTGTACATACATATGCACGGACACAATCATTCCTTGCATCCTTAAAAGCAGTTTGAAAAACTGAGCCTTCGCTGCCTGGTACAGAGGGTGAACTGTAACCGTATCCTCAGCATCTTAGCATGCACAGACCTGGCACTGAGCAGGTCCTCAATATTTGTCCACTAAATTAAAGTTCTTATATCTTAACTAGGACAGGCCACAAAATTGCCAAACAGTTACAGAGAATTTTAAAAAATCTTAAGATCATGAAATTCAGCCAACAGATATATGAAACCAAATGATGGACTGGCCATAATTGTCAATAGGAATTTCCCCTTGTTAATTTAAAACAACTACACTATTGGCAAGCCAGTCTGCCACTTAGACACATCATACTGTAAGTCTAATTTGTTTTCCCTGTACAAAAATGTCTTTTAGAAAATTATTTTTACATTTGTAAATACCTAAAGGCACATCGTGCATTACAATAATTGATATGGAATTCACAAAAGCATTCATAAGAAAATTACAGCTGTGGCTCCTTTGTCATGCCTGTCCTTAGAAATGACTCTTACAGTGCTTTCAAAAAGCACTCAGACATAACAAGAAGACAATTATTTCTTCATTTTCAATAGTAGGCTTTGAGAAGATAGTACAAAAGATATAATAGCCTGTTTTCTTAAAGTAATGATAGATTTCAAAGCTAAGTGCGTTTAAAAGTAGAATAGATGCTCTTTGTCCAGTTAAATGATTTAGTCCTTGTACCCTTCAAGTCGGTTTTGGGTTATAGTTTTATATTTATATATATACAATTAGCCCATGTTTTTCCATTTGGCTTATGCCTAAACTATCAAAAGAAAATTATAGCTAACTCCTCCAGGCTGCCAGACTATGATGAATGTGGCAATAACTATACTATTTCCATGCCACGAGAACTCATGATTATAAGAATAAGCATCACATATTTTTGTATAGCAAAGATATACTATAAACTAAAGTCCAAAATATACACAGACACTTACTAACTAAACAGAAAGACTACATTAGTACAATCTCACACACGAAACAACCAACACTACCCAAGCTGCTTGCTCTCAAATTTCTAACAATGTGCTGTTGTTTGGCCATTTCTAGAATAGACCTCTGTTCTAAACAAAGGGTACCCATATCAACAAAGGTCTTTTGGTTAACTGTAAAGTATTATTCACATGTACTGGCATGGTTAATAACTGGCTGATGTTACAGCAACTTCTTAATGTAAGCTTTTTATTCATTCAACCAACATGATGAGCTTTGATTTCCTTATCTGCAAAATGGAGATACTACCTTCACTGAGTTATTAAGAAGATTTCACTATTAATAGCCATTCAATAAATGACGACCCCCTCGCAAGTTCCCTGATGGCTACGCTCTGGACTGCACACTGGCGGCATTAAGAACACAAAAAGCTCTCTGCTCAAGGAGCTCAGTCCCTAGGACCACGCACCCCCACAGAATTCTTGAGATGGTTCAACTGCTATTCCCCTACCCCCCCCCCCCCATATCAAACAGGATGGGAAAACTCAAGAGAAAACACTGACATGTTTTACAAAAAGCTGCAACTTTACTAACAATATATTCTAACATGTATCAAGGTTTCAGGAACGAAATTCTGAACTCAAGAAACTGCAATACTCAGTATTAATTAAAAATCGAAAAAGGGTAGGGTGGTGATTCATGGGTTTTCAGTCCAAAATAAAAATGCAGAAAAAGTTTACTTTGGTGGATCTGTATTGATGCCATATTTCTCCTTGAGAAGCTTCAACTGTTCTTCCTTCTTCTTTGTGTCCATCTTCTGAAATGCCTGAAAATGTGGTAAGTGCCAAAGTTAAGTTACCAATCTATAGTCAAATGAATTCCACTAATAGCACCAGCCAGAAAGGAGCTCAGAGTACCCATCTCCCCTAAGGGTGCAGTTCTGCAGGAATTCCTATGTGGGCTCCCCCCATGATGAGAACTGTGCTATACTTACCCTGTTGGCATTATAGTACAAAACCACGAGGTATCTGTTACAAACATTGAATCCGGACAGGTGATCACATGCATTCTTGGCATCAAAGATGTCCTCATAGACCACATAAGCTGTTCCTCTAGTTTCAGGTGTGTTCCCCCTGCAGAGTTGAATCAGACTTAATTAAACACATATTTACCTGAAAACCATTAGAGGAAATAAACCTTATGGAAGGGTATGCTGGATAATCCTGTAATTTCTTGAATTAGGTAATTTTTGTTTTTAAGTGAAATAGCTATAGGTTAAACTTACTGTTCTGTCAAGAATACTTAAAAAAAAAAGAATACTAATATAGCTGCTAAACCAATAACAGCAAAAAACTAGTTTGAAACTTTGTCATAATCTTCATGTTCTAGTCTTTCCTACTTCTCACACTAAGAACCAATTTTCAGTCTTACACTGGAAAGTACAGTATTGAGGAGTGATGGCTCCTATTAGTCAGCTATGTCTGAATGGAGTTTTTCTTTAAAAAAAATAGTTATTTAAAAAAATATTTATTTTAATTTAAAGAGCAGATCAGGGAAAGGGTTCCCTATACTTTTAAATCTTCCACAGGAAGCTGTAGTTGAAAAAAAAATCATTTTCCTCAGTTACTTTTATATCCCTTTACTCAGTTTATTCAGAAATTCTGCAGTCAGTAAAAGAGACAGTGAAGATTGTTGAAAAAATTAGAGTTAATGCATATAACAGCATAGTTTTTGACTTTATAAATAGCAGGTGTACAATAAATGTTAGTTCTTCCTTCCCTTCCAGAGCCCTCAAACTATTCATGCTCTCAGTAACTTCACAATTAGTTGGCTCTCATTGAGCTGGATCATAAGGGCCTCGGTAGGTATTTCCCCCTTGCAAACAACAAACAAACAAACAAACAAAAAAAGGAAAAAAATCTCATCTCCCTGACTTCAATTAGCCTCGGAGGCTCTCAGGCCCCCCTGTCAGCTATAATTCCAAGGTTATAGATTACACAATCATTTTATTTAAACATTTCGAAAGTTTCAGTAAACTCACACTCTGATTTGACGAATAGGTCCGTATTTCCCAAATATATCATACATTTCTTCAGCTGTGATTTTGTAAGGCAAATTTCTTATATACAAAATCCGATTTACTTCAGGTGGAAGTCGAATCTGAAATGAGAAACATGTATTGTCATTATAATTAGGAGAATGCTACCATTTAAAAAAACTCTCATAGTGAACAAGAAATTCTCATAATAAAAAATAATAAACAAAAAAAGCCAAGACCAAAAATTATAATCTGCTATACTGAAAATGGCATACTCTTTGGAAAAGCAACTGGGCACTGATTATAGGGAAGACTATCAGTAGGAATAAGGGGCTACTACAAAACCCAGGCTTTCCGTCAATGCCTTTATCATTTATTTAGATTTGATTGCCAATACGACTGGTTTCTTTTATTCCTCAGGTGAGCAGTTTGCTTATGTACTGCCATCACGACAGAAAACAAAATACTTATTTGGCTTCCTTTTCATTCATTCAAAAATATTTACTAAGCACCTTCTTTTTTTTTTTTAAATAAGTTTTTTATTGATTTCAGAGAGGAAGGTAGAGGGAGAGAGAGAGAGGGAGAGACACACATCAATGATGAGAATCACTGATTGGCTGCTGCCTGCATGGCCCCCCCTGGAGACCCAGCCTGCAACCCAGGCATGTGCCCTTGACCAGAGTCGAACCCGGGACCCTTAAGTCCGCAGGCCAACACTCTATCCACTGAGCCAAACCGGCTAGGGCTAATGAGCACCTTCTTTACATATACACCAGGCTAGTAGTGTTAGGGTGACACAGTGAAGGAGGGAAGACAAGGTTTCTGCATTCCCCAGACTTAGTAGCTCTCTATTATTCTATCTTGCTCTCTTTTTCTTCTTCAGTCAAGCATCTGGAAAGAGGAAGTCTACAGTTACTGCCTCATACTCTACTTCACTGATACTCACCAATGTACCACCATGTAGCTTCCAACCCAAAACGCTGATGGGAGTGCTTTTACTCACTAACACTTTTTACTTGCAGCGTCCAATTCACATCATACTTAACTTCCCTGAGCCTCTGGCACTATTGACTGTGACCTGCTTGATACTATTTCCTTGGCTTTCTCCTAACTCTCTGGCTAGTTAGTTCTTCTCAGTCTTTTTTGCCATTAAAATATGCTCTTCCAGAGTTTTATCTTTAGACTTCTTGTCTTGACCCTTCATGTACCCACCCCCTCAAACTCTACAGTCTCTTCACCACACACAGGATTTCCACATTGAGTGGATGACTCTCAAATGTGTATATCCCACCAGATTCTGTGCTCCTTATGAACAGTTACGTAATAGTCATTAATTTGCTCACTACTTATTAAATTGGCAACTGTCAGGCACTAAGCTGTGCTGTATAAATCCAAGAATAATATACCTAGTCCCTGCCCTCAATCTAGTAGCGGTGACGAATGGTAAACAAGTAAGTACAATAAAGTTTAGATTTTAAGATTCAAGGATAAGTTCAAACCGATGATCAACACTGTCCATCACATAGACTTCCCTAGTAAATCTGCTTTCTCCAATGGCAAGCCACTAAATCACACTCTCTTCTCTCCTCACACTCACCACCATCACCCCCTCTAGTATCTGAGCTGGGCTGGGCATTCTCCTCCTTGCCCATCCTGAGAGAGGACCGTGGCTCTTGCTTACTAGGAAAAACAGGTATGACCAAATGGTAAACACTTTATACTCCCGTTACCAAACCTGCCGACCTACATTCATCCATATGCACCCATGTTCCCTTTCAGTACCATGCCAACCCCTCATCCACTCCAAACCGCCTGAATCTAACCCATCTTCCTCTTACACCATCCGTTTCTCCCACTTACTAGACCATCGTCCCCACTGGCATACAAAGACACCTTATGCCACACATCTCAAAAAGGAAAAGCCAGCCGTCACCTAACTCACCTTCTCCCTGTCTACATGCAAACCTGTGGAAGGAACTGCCTCCACTTTCTTAACCTCCATCCTCTATGTCATCCCTCCACTACTGTTTTCACCCACGGAAGTGAAAATCATCCTATCACCCAAAGTCTCCATATCACCATGTCCAAAGATCTGCCCTCATCTTACTATACCTTTCAGCATCTTAGAGTTGAACACTTTTTTTAGACTCTTTTTTTTGGGGGGGGGGGTTCCATAACGCCCCCCTCTCTCACGTAAGGATGTAAGCAGACGGGCTTTTTGTTTTATTCACCGCTGCATCTCCAATACCTAGACTTGTGTCTCGCACCAGGTAGCTTTTCAATTATTATAACTGATGAATTGTCTCCTATCTCGCAAGTTTGGTACATCGTAGCTGCTTAGAAGTGTTGAATTAAAACGGGAAGGATCCGCCCAGCCGGGTAGCTTAGCTGGTTACAGCGTCATCCCAATACGCCGAGGTACGATCGCGGGTTCCGCCTCCGGTCGGGGCACAAACAAGTTTCAAACAGGACAGCATAGGTAAGTGGAACAACAAATCCATGTTTCTTTCTCTCCCCCTCTTCTCCCCCACAAAAAAACCAATGAAATAAATAAAAAATTAAATTAAAAAACCCATGAAGGGTCCAAAGAGCTCCGTGATGAGAAGACTCTCAGGCTCTCGTCGCCTGTTGGCCATTAGGTTATTTATTGGGGACTTATCTGTGCTATTGGCCTTTAAGCCGGGAAGATGCAGACGCCAGGCTGAAGGCGAAGCTACAAAGGCTGCCAGGCCAGGCTGAACTTCCCTCCGACAGCACGGTAACGTCTGGCTTCCCCGCCCTGGGGACGGAGAAGGGCCGGGAATACCCTGATCCACGCCGCCCCGAGTCCACAGCGAATCCTTCCCTCCTCGGCAGACATCCCCGTTACTTACGTTCGCTCTTTTGGCCGCTTGCATCGCCATCTTGGCGGGCTGATGAGGTTACCGCGGCAAATACTAGAATTCCCCTTATTCCTCCGGAGCTCGCTCAGCTTCCAGCTCAACACGGCCTCAGACGCGGGACATCAACACTCAGGCTCCGCCGGAAGCGGCTATAACGCGCAGGAACACCGCCGTCTCACGTGCAGACGTGTTGACGCACTGTCCCCTTTCGAAAAGACTCCGGGCAAAACGAGCCCGAGTCAGCAAGGAGGCCGGAAGATTGAAAGGCGAGGGCCCGAGGCGCTTCCGGGAACCGCACTGAAGGGGGCGGAGCCTAGGCTTCAGAAGGGGCGGTGTTCCTGTCAGGGCGGCCCTGAGCGGAGGAAGTTGGCGGAGGGGGCGGGACCTGAGGAGAGTGACTAGAGCTGGGGCTGTTCGCAGTGCGTTCTGGAAGGGGTCGGGCCGGACTGAATTACCCGGCTGCTGGGCGCGCGGCGTGCGGGGGATGTGCGCGGGGTCCCGGGCCCTGGCAGTGCTCCAGGGTTCTGTTTCCGCATTCGGACCCTGGCGCAGCCCCTG